CATCTTTCATAATGTATTAGACAAAAAGGCCCTTTTATAAATTACCACCATGCACGGCCGGCCTAGATATTCGTAACTTCAGTAAATTAAGGTGTATAAACCGTTTTCTTTCTGTCTTATTTACATAGCAAATTAGCAATAACTGTTGTATATGAAATGTTTTTAATATATAAAAATCTAATCCTGCGAGTATAAAAGATAATTTACATCTGCCAGAGTATTTTTTTCCGGCGTACTGTACATCGTTTTAAAAAGCACTTGGAAACGAAGATATCATTTTCCTTCTGTAAAGTGAATATGATAAGCAATATACATTCATCTAACATCCTTCGTGACAAAATGAACACAGGAAATAAGTGTCACAGACTACACAATCACTCAGTACATAAACTCTAAAATATATATAACACGTACTATATACAATAAAAGAATCATATATATGAGTATTTATAGCACAATATTTAAAGCTAGTCTTCATATAATTTGGGTTGCCTTATCCTAATGCCTCTGAATCAGCACATGAGCCCGCATTTCAGCCACTGCAAAGAAAAAAAATGAGTTAGGTTTGCCGAACAAAGAATTTTCTTTTGTCTCTCTCTCCCTTTCTCTCTCTCTCGCTCAATCTCCCTCTCTCTCCCCCCCCCCCTCTCTCTCCCTCCCCTCTCTCTTCCCCTCTCTATCTCCTTCCCTCTCTCTCTCCTCTCACACACTCTCACACTCACGCACACACCTACACACGCGCGCGCGCGCTTCATAAGCATATTACTAGTCTTCTAGATCTATAATACCCAGAACTACGACAACTGGTCTTATCCATGAATTTGTCATAACGTCAACTTCAAGATCATGCTTCAAAAATCATTAAAGGAAACAAACCTCGCCAGAGAGAATTTGACGGCGCCATTCTGTAGAGGGTCTCGCTTCTCAAAAATATCTGAAAAGTTTAACAAACATCGTGAAAAACAATTTCTCTGAAACAAACTTTATGTGAACCCAATACATAAATCACCATTTAAGAATGCAAAAATAAAGATTTGATTGATTATAGCAAAAAAGCGGGTGACACTCACTGAACGCAACTGAGAGATGGAGAACTGCACTGACAAAGTCCCCGAACCTTAATGTTCCGTCTTCTTCTCATGTAGCGCAGCACCAGCGTGGATACAACCTCCGTGTTCAGTTGAAATCCTGAGACAATAATAGGATATGAATATAATTTGCACTTGAACCATGATCAAACATATCCCGACGGTTTGCTGTAACTGACCATGAGAGGTGCTGTCTACCCTTACATTTATAGTCTTATATCTGTAATATCAGTAATCTTTCGTAAATCAAATCAATCTTCTCTAGTAACTGCAAGTTACAACATCTAGCCTGCAGTTCTGCAAACCCCAGTTAAAACCCATTCCTTTGTTCCTTCCTTACCGCAGAGGTAAAAGATAAAAATAAAACACTGACCGACATCCTCCAGGGCATCTCGAAGTCTCTCAGCTTTCAGGATTCCAGTTCGCTCTTTCGTGTGGCTCTTGAAGGCATTCTGCCAGAATTTCAGACTCACCATCAAGTCCTTGAAGTCTGAGAATTTCAGTCTCCCTGTGGATGAACTCTGTGCACACGTTAAGGAAGAAAACGGGTTCTTTGTGGGAAAATATAGCGTAGGGTTATTTATTTTCCACATAAGTGACTTAAACAAAATATAACTAAAATAACAATCTTTCAGAAAATGTTGATCTTACAGTTATAGTTATAAAATTTTCTGTCCTTATATAGATTATCATGCAGAGAAAGGATACATCTAGAGCCAGGATGACTTGTCTGCAGATGTCAAGACTAGCACAACTCTTGATGTAATCTGGAAAAGAACAAAAAATAATATAATTTTATAAAAACAGCATCATATTCATCCTTACACATTACATTGCAAAGCAGAGTTGTATAATAAGTTGGTTACTGTGGAGATCCAAGAAACGTTATAAGCCAAAACAGAAATTCTGAATTAAAATATGTAAATCAATATTTTACAATAATTCAATTCTGATATCCCTTTATGGAATCTATTGCATAATCCTTGTATACTATGGGCTCTTAAAGTCATATTTTATAAAAAATAACATTTGTTACGAGGCGAAAGTTCGCTTATGATGATAACATTCCGTAATTATTGTAGGTGCGTTATTATCTGGGTAATTGGACAATAAACGTCGTTAATCCTTTGGTAATGCCAAATTGGTGATGAATTATTTACGTTGACAGGTTGGCGATGCTTAAGCAAACTGATAACTGAAACAGCTCAATAATGATAGTTATTTAGTAAAAAAAGACTGAGATGAAATGAACTTATATACGGACATTTTGTAATTCAAGTACCGCTTGTTTTCCGCTTCCAGAAACAGGGACCGAGCACAGTGCCCGGCCCACTTGAATCGCGTTTATTTCGCCTCACCTTTTCTATGTAAATAAAATGCACTTCTAATTCTATTACTTTTAACACTGTCATATTCCAAAACAATACTTATTTTTGTAATTTTCAACGTCCTTCCTCAACCTTGTTTGAATTCTGGATACAGTATATCAGATGAGATCTATAGTAATCTGTCTACAGAAGCCCAACAAACACCTGTAAGGTTATGTGAGAGAGAACCCAAAAGAGGCCACCGTGGGCGGTAGCTTCATGCTAGGGGCCAAGGAAAAGAGGGGCCCCGTTGGTTCCTCCTCGAAAAGGTGTGGAGGGACCAGCTGAAGGCTCAAACCACACGAACTCACAAGCAAGCAATCCCCGAGATCAGGCCCTACCAGGAGCGGACCAATTCTAAGATTCTATAAAAAATACAAAATCTACAATGACAAAAGGACCGTGCAGACGGCACCAAGTACAAACAAGTTATTATGTAAAAGTCAGTTGCCAGAAGGCTTAAATTGTAATAAAGATGCATTAGATATATATATAGTAATGCATGTATCTATGTAACATATTTAAATGTATACATGGTACATATATATAATTTATATATACATATATGATTTAGATTTATATATATATTATTCATATATGTATACATAGATAGACAGATATATGTAAGATATGTGTTGTTGGGTGTGAATTATCTATATATATACATGTATATAACTATATATGATATAGATACATTATACATATTGTGTGGTGGGTGTGGTGTATTAATCCTCATCATCACATTGGGGGCTACCGCCGGTTGTGGCGCATAGCCGCGCCACCCTTCGCTGCAAAACCTGCGATGGTCTCTCATGGCGAGCCGCCCAGGCAGGGGCCCTGGCCCATCTCTAGTTCCGCTCACGACAGGTTTGATGCGATCCTGCCCAAGCCCCGACCCTTCTCGGTCGCATCCCACAGGCCTCCTCCACCCAGGGTTTGTCCCCGACCAGAGACAACCTGATTGGCGGGATCACTCCTGCGGGAATCCGAGCCAAGTGGCCATAGAGCCTGAGTTGGCGATCAACGGATTGTTCACGTAACAGGTCCTGACCGGTCTTTGCGGCTGTAGCGCATGTTAGTTGACCACTTCACTAATGGTCTCCGCTCCAACTAGTACCGATCCTGCTATAGTGGAACGGTCGCGTGACCGTGCAAGTTTCACTACCAGACACTCTGGGGTGAGTAAAAAACTTGGGGGACGAGGCGTCTACACACGGGGGGGATGAAACACACACAAAGAGCGGGTAGTGGTTGTTCTGTCTTCGCAGACACACTAGGGCGATCCTCGCAAATACTCTCGCCGCGAATTTCATGACCCCTGCCTGCAGCTAAATCCGTCCACTGCTTCCCTTTTCTACAAGCCCAAGTCGTGAACTACATACCGAGGTATATAAAGCTATCTTGTGACTATTCAGCACGCACGGATCTGGGACTACACAGGGTCTCTATCGAGCCCCCAAAATCCTGGATCTTGGTCTTGGTTCAGGAGACCTCTAGTACCCAGGGGCTGCTTTCATGCTGAATGCCAAGAGCCGCCACTAGGGTTTCCAGAGATTCAGAAAGAATGGCAACCATCATCAGCAAAGTCAGGTCTGTACTTGATATTGCCCAGAGTTGCCCACAGTGACTTGGACAGTAGCCTCTAACTACACCAGTTCCAATCCATCAAGTGTTGAAAAGTGTTGGTGCAAGAACATCAACGCCTGCCTGAAAGAAGCTCGACAGGCCCCACCACACTTTACAGCACTTTCAGTGCCTGTATATAGGTTTGCTATTAGTCCCACATCCTGTTGAATTCCCTCTAGCTCAGGAATCTACCCATGGATTTCGCGATGCACCGTATCAAACGCCTCTTGGGTCCTAGTAGGGCTGTGATCACCCCCGTCCGAACTCACGACGGCGCTCTACAATGACTCAAGCGCCAGGGATACGGTCTATTGTGACTTACCAGGAGTGAACCCAGATTGCTCCGGTCCTTTGGTGCCTCAGAGTGGTCTCTGATCCATCTCCGTAAGATGTGGGCAAGTACCTTGCTTGGTAACACGAGCAGTTGTAATGCCTCGGTGATTGCTGCAGTCCCCACCGCTCCCCCTTTCCCCTCCAGAGAGGGATACTACAACCCTTCATCATGTTGGGGGGAGGTACCGTCTGCAGATGCAGACGGACTGCATAAAGCCCCTTTGCCATAGGTTTTCTCCACCAAGCCTTAACAATTTCCGCTGGAGATGCCACAGACCTGTTGCTTTACCACTCTTCGCTTGGAGATCGCCCCCGTTGACTTCATCAAGGGTGGGTGAGCCTCGCTGATGGGTGGGTTGGCGAGGAGTCTCAACTTACCAGCATCCAGTTAACTGTTGGTGGATCAACCTGATACAAGCTTGCTCAAAATACTCAGCCCAACTCACATGCACCCCATCAGGCTCTGAGATTACCTGGCACTTGCTGAGCGGACTGCGTCGTCTGTGAGAGGGCTTGAGTTCTCTTCTCAGTCTCATAGCTTGTTAGGCAGGACGAAGGTCATTTTCTAGGAAATGGCTTTCTTCCTGCGCGCCAGAGAACGGTGCCAAATTGCGAATCCCTGACATCGAGCCACATGACAAGCTCTGTGGCTTCCAGTGTCGCCTCGAGATGGAATGCTGTCTTGCTGTGTTGGGCGTACAACCAATGGATGTCCTGAGCTGCTCAAGCGTTCACGCTTGAATGAATCCACTAACAAACATGGTCTGTTCAGCCCTCGAGTTCTGTGAGACACCATAGATAACCTCGCAAACAACCCCCGGCACACTCATCCTCCCTCAGTCTGTCCAGATGAACACCCTGGGGGTTCATTTGGTCTACAGGGGGTCTAAATTGGACCCGGATAGTAGCCCAACTAGTCTAATGATCAGTTCCACAGAACTCGGCGCTTTCGATACCACCTGCAGTTCTGGAAGGATCCTCCACAGAGTGCTGGACGAGGATGTGGGTCATCTCCTTGGCCACCCTACCCGTATCACTTCCAGAACTAGCGATGCGGGGTTAGAACGCGGGATACCAGAGCCAGAGATCCCTCAATGTCCTGGTACCTAGCAAAGTCACGAAAAGGAAGCTATTCTCACTGCATTATCATCCTGAGCCATGGGACCGACAGACATCTTGTAGCCACTTCGATCACATCCGATACCACATTGAAGTCGCCCAGACAACGAATATCTCGCCGAGGACCACTGTCTGCCACAGAATGCAAGTTTGGCGTAGAACATCTCTTTGTCACCTCAATTTATAACACCGTAGGAATGTCCAGCAATAAGAGACATGAAGCCAAATGACAGCTTTAGTCTCATACCATTATACGCTCATCGACTGGATGACCGCTACACCGAGGGTTTGAAATCGGCTGGAGATGGCTATTGGCTACTGCCCTGGAATGGTGGCCATCGCTGCGCCCAACCAGTGTAAGTGTAGCCACCCACACTAATCTTGCCGCTGCCAGGTCTTCTCACCGCCGAGAGAGCGCCCACCTCACTCTCAGCGGCGTCAATCCCTCGACCGTAATGTTACTGAATCATCCTGTCGCTGGGACGGACGTTTCAAGCCCCCCCCCTGAGAGCCCACCTTAGTTCTAACCTCTGGCAGTCACCTCCGGGTGAGCGCACCTCTGCCCACCCCCACTGACGCCACCCCATACAGGGTGTGGCTGGCTGTCCGGTTCCCTACTCCCTGAGGGCTCCCATGGGCTTTCCCCCACAAGCATCACGCCCGGCGGCGGCCGCTGGGACCCAGATGGGAAATGATGGGTACCCCCCCTCCCACCCGAGTCCCCCACGGTCGCCAACCCAGAGTGCCCACAGCCCGCCGTTGTCTCTGGGTGGAAGGGGCTTTTAGCCCTCCCCCAGCACAACTTATTAATGATCCGTTGCCCGTGAGTTGGTCTCGGAGGGGCAGCTGCAAGGCCTGCCCCCCCCACAGGCCCCCCATTAACCCCTGGGGCAACGGGGGCAGGATTGGTTGGTACGGAGCCAGGGCGTGTCCCCCACGCCGGTGGGGCCATTGACTCCTGTACCTTTAGGGCCTCCCTGCTGCCCTAAGCCTCCACATGTATGTATATATTTTATAATCTTATTTATATATAAATATATTTGTGTGTGGGTGGGTGCTTTCATGCTCGGGTGATGTGAAGCGATGTGTGGGTAGCCCTAAGTTAGCGTGTTTTAGTGCTGGCATGCTTCTCGCTTACAGCTTCCACCCGCTGCTAGCCTGGTGCAAAGGAGCAGCTATGGCATAAGATTCCCCCTGCCAGCTCATAGCCTCCCCATCATCAAGACTTCTTATGTGCCTCCTCGTGCCACCATGGAAACTAGGTACCTGCGTTCCTAGGCTGAACTGGGGAGGCGTATCCACACCGATGTTGTGGATACGCCCTGTTTCAATACAACTCCTGCCCCCATACCCCCTCGGGTTAATAGGCGGCTGTGGGAGGTATCCTTGCCAGTCTTCCCCCCCCCCCCCCCGATATACCACTGGAAACGAAATCGTATAGTTAGTGCTGGGGGGAGGCCTAAAGTCCTCCCACCCACAAGACGGCGGGCTGTGGGTCCCTCTGGTTGGGCGACCGCTGGGACGCGGGTGGGAAGGGGGGTTACCCGTCATCCCCTCTGGGTCCAGCAAGCCGCCGATCTTGCTCATGCTCACAGGATCCCTGCAAGGCGGATAGAATTGCCCGGCAAGACCTTCGTATTGTTCTGGGCGACTTCAGTGCGGAAATCCATCTTTGACCAGCGGCTATGATATGTCTGTCAGTTCTCATGGCTCAGGAGCTGAATGCTGGCAGAGCGAGAATATCTTCCTTTTCCGTGACTTTGCTAGTTCCCAGAAATTAAAATCTCTGGCTCTGGTATCAACATTCTGACACGCATCGCTATACTGGTACGGGCGATATGGTAGTGAGCCGTGATCGACCACATACCCTCGTTAGCACTCGGTTGGAGGATCCCTCCGAACTGCACAGGGGTGTATCGGGTTCAGGGTGTAACTGCAGGGTGTATATATATATTGTTATATATATA